ACACAAGTGTACCACTTATATGTGAAATTCCATTTCTCAGGAAATGGCAGGAACTCTGCGGGGATAATATCGACAGTCCGCACTCGGAAAAATCGGATCATCCACCCTCGGTCCTCATCTTCTTCATTATTGGCAACAAAGGGCTAGGTGGATCGACAACATAGAGTAATCAGGCCTCGGTAATGCAAGGGCCGATACAGTCTAATAAGATGGCTGAGGGTGAACTCGAGCCCGACTTTATCTACAAAGTACCTTATCATCAACACTATCCTCCAAAACGACGGGTGAACCTGTGCCAGGGTAACCCGATATCTACTGCAAAACTCGAGCACGATTCTATCGAGGAGGCCCAATGTAAAGGGGTACGTGTACACGTTCAAAAACCCCTCTACATGTGCCATGATGCTCTCTTCCATGGAAGGTACCTGCAGTACAACCTTTTCTCCCCATCCACAGTCTCTCCTAACCGCCCCGAGGTGTTCCTCTCCTATCGATGAGATGAACCTAGATGCATGCTCCTAGTGGCCCTAAACATTGGATGGTCTCTCTAACGTAAAATCCCTCCTCGAGACAAAGCACCTCGAGGTTAGCTCACCAGGTGCCGGCGGTGTACCATCGACCGAGCGAGAAGCAGAGGTGGAACTCTCCTCTTCTTGGTGAACAGATTCTAGCGTAGCAGCCATAACTATGGTAAAACGAGAAAAGGAAAATGAAAACTTAGGCAAAATCTTTGAATTAAAATGGTGAAAGAACTGATGCAAGGAAGAAAAGCCCTACAAAAGAATAGTTGATCAAAATAGCAAAGTCCTCAAATGAGAGGAAAGCAAGCTCATATATAGGGCAAGCAGCGACTGTTCGCCTACTCTGAAGGCCAATTAATTCTGAATAGGCCATTATGACTTTTAGGGAAGTACACCGGCGGGACCACCTCGGTCACTTCGTGTCCATGTCATACGAATGATGTTGTCATACAACGTTCGAGGGGTCAAGATTCCCGTGTCAGTCTAGCCTCGAGATGGTGCCTGATCTCAAGGATCTCCATTACTATCATTATGGGCTCTAAGGAGCCGTCAATGTCAATCTAGCCTCAAGATGGTGTCCAATCTCGAGGATCTCTGTCAATATATAAATGGTCTATAAGGAGATATCCACATAAACCTAGCCTCGAGATAGTACCCGATCTCGAGGATATCTGCTATTACAAGTGCGGGTCAAGCACCAGATTCTCTCACCCCCGGGCTAACCAGGTCCGAGTCAGTTCTCACGCAAGGGTTATTAATAAAGCCTCAGGGCTATCTTCACCTTTAGTTCAATTTAAGCGCTCTCTCGATTACTTTAGCCCAAGGGCCATCCGAGTTCGAGTGTATCCTCGCTCAAGGACTATCTATAACGCCTTAGGGCTGCCTTCATTTTAAGTTTAAAGCAAGTTTTCGAGGCCACCCGAGTTCAAGAAAACTCTCACTCGAGGACTATTTATGAAAGTCTAAGGGCTATCTTTATTTTCAGATAATCAAGCAAACTCTCACTCGAGGACTAGCAACAAGGCCTAAAAGGGCTAAGCTCTATTTCAAAGAAAATCGGGACCCTACTCTTGCTCAACTCAAATTCAGAAGTTCCAGTGACCTAAGTTTGTACCAAATCAATCCAGACTTAGTACGAGGGATGACAAAGAATCTCAAGAAATATCATATTAACCAATCGAGAACCGTTTCCTTGGGGATCCCACTTCGATCTTCAGAACAACGTCTTCGAGAATCTCCTCCAAAACAGCAATAGAAAAGGAAGAGGCTATAGACTATCAAAGAGCAAAAGCTTTTAACAGGCAGGAAAAATTGTGGCTTGGTAAAAAATTTGGCGAGTATGGGTCTTTCCAGCACTACTATTGAGAAGCCACCTCTTGGGACATTGCACCGGTGTGGGGTGTAAAAGTTAGTAAATGGTGCCACCTCACTCCATGGAAAGCAAAAGGAGTGAAGCGCCACACCAGGTTAAAGTTAAGAGAGATGAGAAGCAGTTTATGGTCCACATATCCTCTGATACGGGAATAATTTGAAGCCGTTCTCTCATTATTTCGGGCTAACAACAACAACAAAAAACCAGTACGATCCCACTCAGTGGGGAGAGCTCTAAAAAGAGACATGGCATAATTGGCAAAACTGCTGCCATGTGACCTTACAGTCACGGGCTTAAACCATGGAAATTAGAGTTTGGATGAGGATGAGGAGAAGAAAAGGGTTAAAGGCTGTTGAAGAATGATTGCATGGAATTTTGGTTCAAGTAACCTTCCATTTATAGAAAGCCAGTGATGCAACCGACGACGCAATCAATGCCTTTGGGAAACGTATCAACAGGCGCAATCAATGCTTTTTGGGAAACAGATCGGCGGCGATATCACCACTTTTGGGAAAATAAACCGGCAGTGTATTGAATGCTTCTGGGAAGATGAACCGATAGGATGTTTTAGTCATCATGAATGCTTACGTCATAAGCATGACGTCATCATGAAAGTCTCGAGAAAATCAATGTCAAAGGCATTTCATATCATTCTATTCTAAGAAATGCGGGGACTATCTGTATATGGCTAAAATTGGAGAGTCTGATTTTATGATCATTATGACATGCCATAGCCCATCTTCAGAAGGCTCTAGGCGAGCTCGAGGGTTCCCTATGCTTGACCTTGGGGCAGTGCAGATCGGGGGCTATCATGGATGAGCGGGAAATTCTTAAGGTGCATGATTAGGATTGACCAGGTCTAGAAGAATATTACAAGTACTTACCATGACGTTAAATAGTTGTACCAACTACAAATCTTTGCAATAAATGCATATGTACTATATTGGGATTCTCTCTCCTATATAAAGAGGACCCTTGCTATTTTTTGCACACATTATATTGAATACAAGAACAAGAACATTCTCTGCTCTCTAACTTAAATACTCTCCATTGTCTTTCTTTTTATTTATTGCTTACATTTATTGAGTTTCATTGATTGTTCTTAATTTATTAGTCATCATTGATAATAAAGAGCTATTATTGAGGCCCTTGGTACTATTAGTCCTTCATTGATCACCCCCAATCAAGCTCGTCGGCTCGACCTCGAGGTATAGCTTAGGCCAACTCGAGACCCCGACTTGCAGCTGTTCGGTTTGAATAACCACACTGCCTCTTACTCTTACTCTATATTCTTAGCTCATACTTAGCATCTATTGCCTAACAACTAGCATAAAAATAAATCACGTATTTTAGAACCACAAAATTAAATCTAATTGTAATTACCATTTTCAAGGTAAACAAGTTTGATTGTTAAAAATAAGTATCCAATCCCAATGATAGATGATATGTAGGATGAACTATGTGGAGCTAATGTGTTTTCTAAAGTAGACCTTAGAGTTAGTTATCATCGTGTGAGAATGAGAGCTGGAGAAGAACACAAAACTATATTTAGAACTCACCATGGACTATGGCATTTCAGAGTCATGCTATTTGGGCTGACTAATGATCCCATCACATTTCAGTCCCTGATGACCATTGTGTGAAGTGAACAAATGAGAAAATTTATACTGTTATTTTTTGATGATATACTAGTTTACAGTAAAAGGATGGAGGAACATTTGAAACATCTTGAGGTTGTGTTGCAGCTACTAAGGAAGAACCAATTATTTGCCAAAAGAATCAAGTGTGAGTTTGGGAAATCACAGGTAGAATATTGGGACATATCATCTCTAGGAATGAGGTAAGAACTGATGACAAAAATGTCATGACCCATTTTCAGAACAAGCCGTGGCCGGCACCCGATCACTAAACTTGACCGAGCGACCATCTACACTTATCAAATCTATTATAAGTTCAATTTTATATGTAACAAGGAAATACTTTTAATTAATTTAAATATCTAAAATAAACTAACTCCAAAACTTTATTCGTAGTAATCATTGAAATATTGTTAAGTTATTATCAAAAGATCTAAATTATTAACCCACCGACTGTGTCTATGAAGCCTCTATCGACACTGCTTAGGACATGAGATTGCCTGGCTAGTTCTCCAAGTAAATAAAGAAATAACTAAATAAAGATGACTCAAAGGAATACTCCACGAACAAAAGCGGAGCTCACCAATAGCACTGGAAAAGAGGGAAGTCCTAACCTATAGCCTGCTCGCCTGCAAAACCGGTTCCTACGTTGTACCGTAGACCAACGTAGGTTCCAAAAAGAGGACGTCAGTATCATCTATTGTACTTAGTGAATCTGAACGACAAGGAACGAAACCTTAATAACATATACATTACGAGCAAAGATTCTAAGTGCATGGAAAACTTAAAGCTTCTAAGAACAATTCTAAAATAATTGCATAATAGCAGTTTATAAATATTCTAAAAGAAATTCTTTTGTTTTTCTTTCTTATAAAAAAAATACTTCACTTTATACTTCGGGAGTTCCAACTATCCTAAATTTTTCTTTCTTAGTCACTGTATGATCGATACGGTTTCGATCCCAACCTGAACAAATAGGCCCAATCTACGATGTGCCACTCACTTCATGGTTTTCAGCGCTCATGTATCATACCTTAGCATGACTAAGTAAATTCTCAGCAACTCTAGGCTCGTGTGCTCCTACTTTGACACAAGTAGTTTTAGGAAGTCAATGTCTTGGTCAGGACCCTCGGCCTGGATTATGACCCCTTCTCAGAATAGTGGATACTCCCAAAAATCTTTTCTTTCTAAAACTTCTTGTTGTAACTTTTCGAGTCTAAATCTTTTCTGGAACATCCTATATATACTCATACCGGTATCCTTAAATGTAAAGAATGTGTCACAACCCAAACCTATGGGCCGCAACGGGTACCCGGTACCCAACTCAACCGAGTACCAACGTAATGTATCTTTTCGTACCATACTCTTATAGGTAAATGAGATGGAAATGCTTCCATGAAATAAGTAGAATAAAACATGGAGAAATACTCGATATTGGACGATCCAAAATTTAATCCAAACTTATACATATGACATACGAGCCTATAGGGCCGGCATGATCCTTTATATACTCAAAACATAGGACGACAAGTCCATACAAGAATCCTTATACATGACATCTATCTACAAGCCTCTAAGAATACATAGTATTATAAAAGTCGGGAAAGAGCCTTGCCATACCAAACAATACACATTTAAATCATACTAACCAAACAATCAACTTCAAAGCAAATAGAATGCACCAACATCTTCCGCTGAGCTGATCACCTAATTGGAGGACTCTCGACCTGTCTATCGGGGCCTGCAGGCATAAAATGCAGCGTCCCCAGGCAAAAGGGACGTCAGTACAAATAATGTACCGAGTATGTAAGGAATGAAAATCAGTAGACAATAGACACGAGAGAAACATGGAGTAAAAGACTCAACATGTAAATCTGAATAGCTCTGTAAAATCATTTAATATTTAAAATGTTATGCATATACGTATAAATTTCATGTCGTGCATAGGTACATATGTTCATAACATCATCAAGGCTCTGAGGGTATCCCATCATATCATCTTGTCCACTGTGGGCAAAATCATCAATGTATACCAGCTGATCAGGTGGTGGTGCGTATATAACGCCATNAATGAACATATAAATGAATGCAATGCATGAGAAGTACGTTAATAAAACTTCTCGGAACATCATTAGACCCTTATACCTCTGATTAATATCATAAAATAAACTTTTTCCAACATACGTATTTTTCTGAGACCCATGAACAGATGATAAAATAATAGAACACATGAGAATTCAAGAATATAGGCAACTCTAATACTTCTATGAATAGAGTCATTTATGCAAGTTGTGCATTTTCTCGATGCATTTGTATCGTACGGATCATGCCAAAAATAAAGAAGGAATAACCTTAACATACCTGAACCGATTTTCTTGAAAATCCATCTAACATATGTCAATTGCGACAACATGTAATGGTGGATTAAAGTAGGAAAAAATCCGTATGATATTCTTGAGGAAGATTACACCGTACTCCCTTAGAATCGCAAAATCCTGTTGCATTTATCTGGTGTAACTTCGTATAACAGTCTGTGGATACAGAGAGCCTCTGTCTAGGTTCAATAGGACTAGGTGAGACACCAACTATGCTTCCTCTCATTTTGTTTTTTTCTAACTCAATTCCAGCTTAAGGAAGACAACATCTGACTTGGAAAATAATAAACCAAGTTCATGTTTTCAAAGATTCAAGAAAACAATTATGTAAAAATCAGTTCTTGATTATTTGGAAAAGAAAGAAAAGGCATGATCTAGAAAGACAGAGACAATGCCAAACAAGTTATTTTTTATAAATCTTTCATTAAGTGGGGAGTGGGCCCCACTTTGCAAGATGACTAAGCCACTAAATTCACCAATTTATGCCACCTTAAAATGTGACTTATGAGTCACTTAATTAACCATCGTATGGTTGCCACGTTATGGGGGGTGGGGTTTAATCTTATCCAAATCCAAATATATCCCCAATTAATTAGGCAATATCTCATTACCCGATAATTAATCAATTGCCCGTAGAATTGAGAATTATTCCCACTTACTTAAAATATTACTCACTTTTTACATACCTTATACACCTTACTATTATGGTCATGTGGTACTTTGTATGGTACTAGACCATAAATACCGAGTATTTTAGCTTGAGCCGTATTTTATCCCAACATGCCAAACTTGGACGAAAATTCGTTTTCTTTGACTTGCGTCCCCTTTCATCTTTACGAATTTACTTATTACTTGTTTAAAATAGCATAATTCTTATAATCTCCAAATAATCTTTTCCTTGGACTGATGTCAGTTACCTTATGACAAATTCAACGTACAACACTATAGGGTGCAACATCGTCATAATGTAGTACTGCGGGACGTGACATCTCACTTCCGGGTTCTCATTAATTTATTTATGGCGTGTTTTCATGTACGAAAATATGGGGTGTAACATCATTACCCCCTTTGGAACATTCATCCTCGAATGTTGACTGATGCGCTTATCGTTCTCATATCCGATAGCTCTTGCGAATACTTTAGTAGTCCTTTTGCCATCTAGGCAACTGTTCTATGAATAAGTCCAAAGGCCAGGGCATTCCCCCCTTTAGGCCTCTTTCCCACGCCATGACTTGTGATTGAATTCCTTCCAATCTCGTAATTGTTTCTACCTTTAATTATGCTACTTCTACAATATTGACCTTGTATGTGTGCCTATGCGACTCTCCTCTCCTTTTTCCTCCAGCTTTTAGCCAATCCTGAAGTTCTTCGCTTGGTATTTGTCGAACTTAGGAATATTGCTATATCTTATTTTATAGACCTGGTTATCTATTCGTATGACTTGACTGCATCTACATAGGTCAAACTATACCATAACTCTTATCTCAATTTCTTGTTACTGAGGTCTGCTACCAAATCTCAGATTATTTTCGTTGCTTATCTCATACGTATAAATCTATGTCCTCTAATGCCTCCACATTATTGTTCATCTTTAAAAATGACGGTCTAATCTCCTCTCATACTTTATAACTTTTATCCATCCATTGTTGATTCACCTCAATTTCGATCCATAATCTACCCCTGATAACTTAACCTTTTATGTAATATTGCTACTAGGTTTCACGTTTTATCGGGGAGCATCTGAAATAATTAGATTGATCCACCTAGGGCGATACCCTGCTTTTATAATCGTATCTCACGGCATCCCAATGTGATTCACCTTGCGTGGGTATTTTAATCCTGTCCAATTCATAAGATCCCCTTCTTTTATTCGTCAGATCATTACTCAATCTAAGGCCCAAACGTCATTTTTTTTGTCTATAATAACTACACCCCCATTTTATTAACAGGGCAACATTCTATCTCTTCTGAATGTTATTAGTCTTAGACTCCTTTGAGTTCATTCAGGTTATATTGAACTTTCTATAACTTAGAGAAACCATTAGCTTTCTTGTTTTCACGGGTCTTAATCCCGATGACTTATCCGTTCTCGTCACCATCTCACTCGCCCTTTCTCATTCTTACTCCTGTCATAAAACTTTGTCACTACTATACTTTAGCTTGGGATCCATACATATCTATTTATATTATTCACGCCCTTCCTTTAACTTGCTTGCACCATAGATTTCCTAATGTTGTTCTGGAACATCAAGTGAGACATCACATTGTCTCAAACTATTCTTTACTCTCATAATCAGGCTTTTCGATACCTAGACCATAGGCTAGAAGATATGCTACTGACGTTGCTGCTATCATTCCTGGATATAGAATCCCCGCACTTCTAGCCTTCTATCCCAAGTATGGAATATTCTCAACCTTCTACTTTTGAGTATCTCATTCATTGTTCACCTTTACCTTACTTTCCTTAATGCCTCACATCACATCTTCTATCTCTTTCATGACCTTCCCTCCACATAGATATAATTCACATCCATGTATTGAACTTGTATTATAATACATGCACCTTTTTAAACAATCTCGTGAGAGCTTCATACTAACTTCTTATGAGGTTGGGACACCTCTAACTGGCTTTATCGTAGTGCCATTATAGAATATGGCTACTACATTATCTCTCTTGTACCTTTGATAGTAAGAGTGATTCTGCAATGTTTTCAATCACGATTTCTATAATTTTCAGGGTCCAATAATTAGATTCCTGATTTACTTTGCTGATGTATATCTTTAGTTTCCTCCTTCTTCTTATCAGCCTTTATGTAGGCTTAAGCTATCTACCGATATGTGGTTCATGGTATTAGTCATTACTTTAGCCCTCCATGGACGCTATGGAATATCCACGATACAATCTTCTAATAATTCATTCCTTTGTCTATGACCTGGGCTCATTTTTTCTTTTAACTTATACTGAAATCTTCTACAGCTGTATGATTGTCAACATATATGCTGCATAGATAATACTCCAAACTCTTAAGTGCATTCATAACATAACCAAACTCTGGATCGTTGATCGAATGATTCTTTCATTCCTTCGTATTTTTCTTTAAATGTAAGTCATTACCTTTCCTGGTCTTTCTTCCCCCTTGTTGCGTGCATACTTAGCTTATCTTAGATCTTACGCAAGCCGAAATTTTCGTACAACTCATATGATCTTCGAATATTGCTTTTGAATTTACTTCCCGCTCACTAGCCAGGGTAGGTTCCTCTTTCTTATGGAGGACGTACAATGTTGTTGTGAAACTAGTGTTACAAGACCATTCCTCTTTAGGTCGCTGAGTTCAGGTTGTAGCCTTCTTCCTTATTTTCCTTAACTTGTCTTCCATTGTAGTACTTCGGGAGGACTCCCTGACTCTTGTAAAGATGTGAACTTCTTGAATCAACTACTAACTACTCGTTGGCCCATTCTCATGTCAATATTCCGCAAAATCTTTCTTGGGTTATTTCCTTTGTCTTAACTTACGTCTCGCACTGACTCCTTATTTACCAATAACATCTCGGGCAGGGACCCTTACTTCCTCTCATTAACGTCATATTTGCATAATGTTCTAGAATTGTAGCATATACGTAGGAGCTGAGTAAGTGTAATCTCATTCCTTTTTCGTATTTACCGCATTCTTCATTTACCATTCCATGATTACTAGAACCACTTAATTCTAACTTCTTGCCACATCACTCTATATTCCCCCCTTTAGGAGAGTACTAAGATTTAGCACTATGATGATCTACCTGTAGATGTTTTACCTCTTCAGCCTTGGCATCTTCTCACATCATCGACGACCCTTACTCGCCTTGCGGTAATCCTTCTATACCAAGAAAATGAAATTTCTTACTCGCGAGGGTGGCATAGTGTAACTGGCACACATAGTCCCTTAAGCTTAACTTTGCTCACATTGCTTGCTTTAGGGAAGTGTCTTCCTGAACGGCCATTTTCTGAATTTCTCCTGAATCTTCTTCTATTGTCCATTCTACTATCGCCGAAATGAAATCTGAAATTCTCATGATGCCGACTATTTTCAAATCACTCAGTCCCTAATTCACGTTTAGTTTATCTTGTTCACCAGCCCATACTGAGTTCTATTGCTCTGGGGTCTAACTTTTCCTCTTGGTAATCGCGCTAGAGTTGCGAACTTATTTCTCGAAATGAGGACATGACCGTATGACCTATACTCTTTTGTTGTCCTAAGGCTTGTCACCTCTCGTCTCTTCCTTCACTTGACTATAGATTTTGTAATATTGTCATCTTTTGATCTACCGTTGTCATCCATGTACCACATCTTACTCATAATGCTTCATTAACTCTTTTCTTTTTTCCCACTAACATTTATGCCTATTACTTTATTCTGAAAACTTGAACAAGACATTCTTTTGCTTTTAGCTTCCCTTTGCTCCATCCAGTGGCTCTTCAAGTTGCTTAATGTTCTCGCTTTACTAGGGACGCGAGCCACACTAAGGTAATATGTATCCCTTCAAGGCTTATAATGTATGTCTTTGTAGTACTTATATCTGGCTACACTATTTTAGAGTGTACCATCTGGGTGTCTCACAAGGAGATCTACTAGCACACTTGCAATATCATTCGGAAATATCAACTAACACAAACAATCCATTCACTACTTTGGTTTACTCTAACTCCAGCCAGATCTTAATATCATGTCCTTCTCTTAAACTACACAGGTTAGCCCCCAATAGGATATAACTGAGATGGGTGTGGCCAATTCTACATACATTTTTTACTGTTGAAGGTAAGTCACAATGCTTATACTTTTCTGCCGGAGTTGATAATACCGATAATCTTCATTAACTGGGTACCCCGTACCCTTCTCATCTTGCTCCTTTTACTTGTTGAAGCTTGTATCTATCTTCTGAATCTCTTATTGCCTTTCACCATATAGGTCGATAGATATTATTGCCTTAAGGCTCCTTATCAAGAAGCTTACACGTAAGGTACATATATGTTCTGCTGAAGACCTCATATTTATCCATCATAGGAATGATGCAAACTCGAGTTCCTCTAACTCAACTCTTCCACAGCTATATCTTTTACCAATTGTCTTTCTGGATGTACACATCGTTGTATTACGAATAAGATAGAGTTTAGGAAATTGAGTTCTTATAACTGAGCTCTACCACACGATCTAGAGTAAGAAGAAAGAGTGACGGTCCTAAATTCCCTATAGCCTCATGCTTATAAGTGTGGTGCACGACACACCCATAAACAAGACTCTACTAGACACAGCTTATAGACTCCCTAGGATAGAACTGCTCTGATACCACTTTTGTCATGACCCAAACTCATGGGTCGCGACGGGTACCCGATACCCTACTCAACCGAGTACCAACGTAACATATCTTTTCGTATCATACTCTTATAGGTAAATGATATGGAAAGGCTGCCATGAAATAAGTAGAATAAAGCATGGAGAAATACTCGATACTGGATGATCCAACATTTAATCCAAACTTATATATATGACGTATGGGCCTATAAGGCCGGCATGATCCTTTATATACTCAAAACATAGGCCGACAAGGCCATACAAGAATCCGTATACATGACATCTATCTACAAGCCTCTAAGAATACATAGTATTGTAAAAGTCAGGATAGAGCCCCGCCATACCAAACAATACACATTTAAATAATACTAACCAAACAAGCAACTCCGGAGCAAATGGAGTGCACCAACATCTTCCGCTGAGTTGATCACCTACTTGGTAGACTCTCGACCTGTTTATCGGGGCCTGCGGGCATGAAACGCAACATCCCCACAAAAGATATAAGAGAAACATGGAGTAAAAGACTAGACATATAAGTTTGAATAGCTCTGTGAAATCTTTTAATATTTAAAATGTTATGCATATATGTATATAACTGTCATGTCGTGCATAGGTACATATGTTCATAACATCATCAAGCCTCTGAGGGCATCCCATCATATCATCTTGGCCACTGTGGGCAAAATCATCAACGTATACCAGCTGATCAGGTGGTGATGCGTATATAACGCCATAACCTTTCCCATACCTCATATTATACGCATATATAACGTCGTCTAAGTCATGGGTAAATGAATATGTAAATGAATATAATGCATGAGAAGTACGTTAATAAAACTTCTTGGATGTCATAAGACCCTTATACCTCTGATTAATATCATAAAATAAACTTTTTTCAACATACGTATTTTTCTGAGACCTATGAACATATGATAAAATAATAGAACACATGGGAATTCAAGAATATAGGCACCTATAATACTTCTATGAATAGAGTCATTTATGGAAGTTGTGCATTTTCTCGTTTCGTTTGTATCGTACGGATCATGCCAAAAATAAAGAATGAATAGCCTTAACATACCTGAACCAATTTTCTTGGAAATCCATCTAATACACGTCAATTGCGATAACATGTAATGGCAGATCGAAGTAGGGGGAAATCCATATGATATTCTTGAGGAAGATTGCACCGTACTCCCTTAGAATCGCAAAATCCCGTTGCATTTACGTGGTGTAACTTCGTATAACAACCTGTGGATACAGAGAGCCTCTGTCTAGGTTCAATAGGACTAGGTGAGACACCAACTATGCTTCCTCTCATTTTGGGTTTTTCTAACTCAATTCCAGCTTAAGGAAGACAACATCTGACTTGGAAAATAATAAACCAAGTTCACGTTTTCAAAGATTCAAGAAAACAATTATGTAAAAATCAGTTCTTGAATATTTGGAGAAGAGAGAAAAAGCATGATCTGGAAAGACAGAGACAATGCCAAATAAGTGATTGTTGATAAATCTTTCATTAAGTGGGGTGGGCCCCACTTTACAAGATGACTAAGCCACTAAATTCACCAATTTATGCCACCTTAAAATGTGACTTATGAGTCACTTAATTGACTCTTGTATGGCTGCCATGTTATGCGGGGGAGGGGGTTAATCTTATCCAACTCTAAATATATCCCCAATTAATTAGGTAATCCCACTTACTTAAAATATTACTCACTTTTCATATACTTTATACACCTTACTATTATAGTCATGTAGTACCTTGTATGGTACTAGTCCATAAATATCGAGTATTTTAGCTTGAGCCGTATTTTATCCCAACATGCCAAACTTGGACGATTTTCTTTGACTTGCTTCCCCTTTCACCTTTACGAATTTACTTATTACTTGTTTAAAATAGCATAATCCTTATAATATCCAAATAATATTTTCCTTGGACTGATGTCAGTTAATTTATGACAAATTCAACATACAACACTACAAGGTGCAACATCGTCGTAATGTAGTACTGCGGGACGTGACATCTCACTTCCGGGTTCTCATTAATTTATTTATGGAGTGTTTTCATGTACGAAAATATGGAGTGTAACAGAATGACATAAGAATGAAATAAACATTAAAAAGTATTTCTAAAGATTCTTGCTTCTTCATGAATTTTCAACATGAAAATGGCTTGCGTGAGTACCTCGCTAGGACGTGCTTTTTTTGTGCTTAGAAGTCCTTTTCTTTGAATTCCTTGAAAATTTCCCTAACCCTCTTTCATTCAGGCTTAAGGCTTAAGGCTTTAAGCCTTTTTATTTTCCTTACAATAGGACAGACTACTCAATGGGCTTTAAGCCCAATTCTTAAGTCTTTTTTTTAGAATTAACAAGTATTTAATGGTACTCATCTTTAATAATTAAAATTATTAAAATTATTAATATTTCCCTAATTATATATCCAATTACTTATAAATAAATAAGTAATTGATAAGTCAATCATAAGGGTTTAAATCCGCTATAGAAGCAGGGGTGAGCATAAAATCCGAAAAACCGAATTCCGAATAGGACCGAATTAATTTGGTATTTCGGTTTCGGTTTTTTCGGTATTTCGATCTAATTTGGTACTAAATTTTTTGGAATTTCGGTACGGTTCTCGGTATTAGGATCTTGAAATTTCGGTATACCGAAATATCGAATTACTAAATTTTTAAATACTTTTAAAAATAATTCTCAGTCCACTCTAGCGCCCCAACCTACTAATTTTAATTATAATTTCCAGCCCACTCCAGCGCCCCAGCCCAAGCCCAAGAAATTGTCTTGCTCTTTCGGTCAATTAGGGTCTAAACTCAAAACTCTGAAGAGTAAAGATTAGGGCATTAGCGAGCGGCAGTCACAACTCCAACTCCTCACTCTTCATAAAGTCAATTACATTGGATTTAGGGCGATAGTTTCACAAATTTCGGGCAAACGAAGACCGAAATTCAAAGAGATCGGTTGCTATTTCAGAAGCTTGTCTCGAAGTTTTTCTTTTATCCTTTTTCTTATGATAAACAATTGTTTTTTTAATTAATAAGTTAAGTATTGCTTACATTGATTTCAGAGATACTTAGACAAAGTAGTAAACCCATTAGGAAATTTAAATTTATTGATATAGAGTCACATTTTTATTTGTTGGGTGCTTCTTGCAATTTTTTGAATTATTTAAGTTTTTGAAATTTGAAACAGAAAGTGATAGCTTGAAATAACTTTAGTGTAGTTGGTCAATTCAATTATCTTACTTTGTTAAAGTAATGAAGTGAAATAATCACACCTGATAGGAATGCCCTCTCTGTTTTTGTTGTTTTTGTTGCACTGTGTGTTTAATTCTGCTGCTACTGGTAATGTTGCTACTGTTAATTCTGCTACTGTTAATGCTGCTACTGTTGCATATATTTTCTGCCAAAAGATTACATTAAACTTGGCCATTTTTAGAGAAAAAATTTGCAGCATGTTACTGCTGCTACTGTCGCATGTTAGCTGCCTGTTAAAATTTGTTAATACTGCTGCTACTTGGCCATTTGCAGCATGTTTGCTACTGAAGAAATGGCTATTCGATTTAAGGTTCTGCCAATTCTTTGAATTGATATAATATGGTTATAACCAAAATCGTACCGAACCAAAATAAGAAATATTGAACCATACCGAAATATTTTGGTACGGTATTTGGTATACACAATTGATAAACCGAATACAGAAATACCGAACCGAAATTCTTAAATACTGAACTGAAATACCGAATGTCCACCCCTAAATAGAAGTATAATTTTTATGCACTCAAGGCAAGATTAAAAAAATTAAATTCTATAATTAGCGTGTGTTGAAACTTTTATAGATTTGAGGAGTGTTACAATATTCCCTCCTTGAAAACATTTGTCCTCGAATGTTGCTAGCACTATTCACTTGAACTTCTTAAATTTTCTTAGCACTACTCACTTTCTCAAGGGACTTAAAATTTTGGCTAACTCCTCAAATTTTCAAAAATTTTGGCAGAGTCTCCCCTATAAATTGGAATATCCAAAAAAATATCCCTGTCACCAATACTACAACTACACCACCAACTACCAAATAACTATAACAAATCATTCATAGGCACCATACACAGCTCATAAACTAATTACTCACACTACGGCAAGAAGGTACCACAATAACCAACCAAAATCTAAAGCACAATACTTCACAAAAAGTAAATCACATTAAAGAATTAAATGTACTCTGGCATGGTACTAATTTATTTAATAACTAAATATACTCTGACAAAAACTAAATTACTTCAACAACTAAGTATAATCTATTAAAGACATAAACATTTGCTAACTTGAATTTCATAAATGAAATATAAATGTCATGCCAAACCTAGGTTCACATACCTTGTTCCTCAAATAAATAAGGATACTTCTTACTCATATCTTCCTCCACCTCCCACGTAGGCTCTTTTAAATCATGATTACTCCATAAAACTTTTGCCGAAGTTATATCTTTTGTTCTCAACTTTCTTACTTGCCTATCGAGAATTTTTATAGGTACCTCTTCATAAGTCAAGCCTTCTTTAATTTCTATGGTGTCGGCAGGTATTATATGCGACTCATCATGAATGTATTGTCTAAGCATAGACACATGAAAGATAGGATGAACAGAGGACAACTCAACTGGCAATGCTAGCTCATAAGCCACTTTTCCCTTCTTTTCTATAATCTCATAAGGCCCGATAAACCTAGGACTAAGTCGCGATGCCTCTTATCAGAATAAGACTTTTGATGACTCTGAGCCGCTTTCAGTCTTTCTCTGATTAGATGTACTTTCTTTAAGGCCTCACAAACAAACTCTGGACCAATCAACAACACCTCTGTTGGTTCAAACCAACCCACTGGAGACTTACATCTTCGCCCATACAATGCTTCATAAGGAGCCATACTAATGCTGGCCTGATAGTTGTTATTGTAAGCAAATTCTATAAGTGCAAATGATCATCCCAATTACCTCCAAAATATATAACACATGCACGCAACATATCTTCGAGAGTCTAAATGGTCCTTTCTGCCTGGCCATCGATCTGTGGATGAAAAGCGGTGCTCAAATTGACCTTGGTACCTAATCTTTTCTGAAATGCCTCCCAGAAATGTGCCGTGAACCGAGGGCCTCTGTCAGATATGATTGAAATTGGAGTACCATGCAATCGAACTATTTTTTTAATGTACAACTACGTATACTGCTCTGAGGAATCTGTCATCTTTACTGGTAGGAAATGCGCGGACTTTGTCAGTCGGTCTACAATAACCCAAATTGAATCATGCTTACGGTATGTGCGAGGCAGACCTACTAAGAAATCCATGTTAATCATCTCCCATTTCTACTGTGGTATCTCTATATCTTGAGCTAGGCCACCAGGCCTCTGATGCTCGGCTTTGACTTGCTGGCAATTCAAACATTTGGCCACATGATCTGCTATTTGCTTCTTCATGCCTTTCCACCAATACAACTCTTTCAAGTCCAGATACATTTTGGTAGCACCTACATAGATAGAGTACCTCGAACTGTGAGCTTCTTCCATTATGACCTTCCTAAGCCCATCTACATAAGCACACATAACCGATCATTCAACTTCAAAACTCCATCACCTCATAGAGTGAAAGCAGTGATTTTTTTGTTTCTGACTCCTTCTTTTAACTTCACTAAGTACAGATCTTCATCTTGCTTAGCCTTAACATGCGCAACAAGAGAGGACTGCGCTAAGGCATAAGCTGTTACACCTCTTTCTTCGGTCTCATCCAATCTAATTCCATCATTTGCTAATTTTTGAATTTCTTGACCTAAAATTCGCCTTTGTACTGCAAGATGGGCCAGGACACCCATTGACTTCCTACTAAGTGCATCTGCTACCACATTAGCTTTGCCCGGGTGATAAAGGATATTGATGTCATAATCCTTCAATAGCTCGAGCCACCTTCTCTGTTTCAAATTTAATTCTTTTTGCTTGAAAATGTACTGGAGGATTTTGTGATCAGTAAACACTTCAGAATGCTCGCCATAAAGGTAGTGTCGCTATATTTTTAATGCAAACACCACTGCTGCAAGCTCCAAGTCGTATGTGGAGTAGTTCTTCTCATAATTCTCTAACCGCCTGGAAGCATAAGCAATAACTTTTCCATCTTTCATAAGAACACAATCAAGACCAACTCTGGAGGCATCACAATACACTGTGAACCCACCCGAACCTGTCGGCAAGGTTAACACAGGTGCAGTGGTTAACCTCTTCTTTAACTCTTGAAAACTCTGCTCATAAGCATTTAACCACTAGAATTTAACTGCTCTCTGAGTCAACCTAGTTAATGGAGCTGCAAGTAAGGAAAATCCCTCTACAAACCTTCTATAGTAGCCAGCTAACCACAAGAAACTCCTAATTTTGGTTGGCGTTGTCAGCCTAGGCCAGTTCTTGACTGCTTCTAT